TCAGTTTCCGAGCACAATAAGCCAAAACTTGATCGCCTTTTGCCACATTTTTTCACAATCTTTAACTGTCTTACAGTTCTTTTTAAGACCCTCCCGCCATAAACCACGCTCCTTTAGTATTAATTTGAGACCTTTAGGTTTACACCATAGTGCTTCTAGAACGGTAACGGGAGTCTCTTCTAAGAGAAATAGAATAGGATAGAATAGAGACTGTAACGGAGCCATTTCAACTGTCTGGTGTATGAGTACACACAGGGCCCGGTTACATGCTGAGAGTTATTGTTAGAAGCCAGTTGCACGTTGATATGCAAGTACCGGTAGTGTAGTTAGCTACCAGCTGTTAGAGTAACTACATTCCGGGCGCTAGGAAGGGGGTCTATTCATGGAAGCAATGATCAACGAGTCTATGCCTCGCCAGTGACTAGAAGACTGGCCAGAGTGAAGCTCTGATTGCCCGGTGATTCTCTGTATCCTGTGAGCACTGTATGTCTGCCGAAGTGGCAGGGACTATGCTAGGGAAGTCTACAATAAGCGAAAGCTCTACAGCAATGATGTAACGGGGGTCCCTTCTAAGAGAAATAGATTTGTATAGAATAGAGACGGCCGTGCAAGATAGACAATCAGGTTGCAGATTATTCAAAGATACTATCGCTAGAACTCAATAATCTTTAAGGGCTCTGCTACCGATGAGAACTTGGTTTTTCTTTCTGATGAAGACTGGAGAGAACAGGACTGAAGGGCGAGAATGAACCTGAGTACTTATACTCCAAAGGCCTCTATTCTCTGCTCCTAACTCCTTACTAAGTTCCGGTGGGCCTTCCCTCAGTACCGGAAACAATACCACCGCTACCCCGCTTTTCTCTAAGCGTCAGCAGGTGTTTCCGATACCCAAGGCAACCACCCTTAGTCAAAGCCTTTGTAACACCTGCAGCCTTGGTTGCCACACAACCGAGGACCTGCATGAATGAGCTGCCGCTCAGGTGTAAGCTTAATCATTGCTGTAGAGCTTTCGCTTATTGTAGACTTCCCTAGCATAGTCCCTGCCCTTCGGCGGACTTACAATGCTCAGAGGATATAGAGGATCACCGGACAATCAGAGCTTCACTCTGGCCGGTCTTCTAGACAATGGCGAGGCATAGACTCGTCAGTCATTGCTCCCATGAATAGATCCCCTTCCTAGCGCCCGGAATGTAGTTACTCTAACAGCTGGTAGCTAACCACACTGCCGGTACTTGCATATCACCGTGCAACTGGCTTCTAACAATAACTCTCAGCATGTAACCGGCCCTATGTGTACTCATACACCAGATAGTTGAAATGGCTCCGTTATACCACTCCCCTCTTCCAGGATCTTGGTCTCCGAGATCTATGACCGTTCTATTACCGTTCATTCTATATGACAAGAAACTTCGTGTTATGCAAGGAAATGAAAACCCAAAAGGAAGTAATCTACACCCTAACAATCCGCTTGTCCTTGGGTTTCTTAGGATACCTCATATGGAAATCCCGAAGGGCTTCCTCAGCACTCTTCTTGAGATGCTCCCAAGGTTCCCATGTAGCATCCTCGTTCTCATAACCTTCCCACAGCACTAGATATTCCACTCGTCTTCTCTTCTTGTTGACACGGCTATCAGCTACCTCTCGGACAACCCAGTTCTGTTCTCCTTCAATCTCCTCAGGTTCCGGTGGTGGAACTCTTCTCTCAGGATCTACCGGTGCTCTGTAAGGTTCCAGAAGAGAGACATGAAAGACCGGGTGGAATCCCATTTGAGGGGGAAGAGAGAGCTTGTAGGCACGGGTACCAATAGCTTCTAAGACCTTGAAGGGTCCCATCTTCTTCTGATCCAGTTTTCCCAAAGGCCGCTTTGTTTGCACATTGCGCCGGTCCAACATTACTTCATCTCCGGGCTTGATTTCAGGCGGTGCCAGGGCATGAGCATCATACCACCGGGCCATCCTTAATCTAGCTTTACCCAAGCTGGCGTTCATAGCCTGCCAGGTAGATTCCCATTGAGATATCATGACCTCGCTTGCTGGATTGTTCCATTCTACTCCTTCCTTTGGGGCCGGCCAGTTGGTCCTGGGTTCATATCCATAGTTGGCATAGAAAGCCGATACTTTGGTAGACTCAGAGACCGCCGAGTTATAAGCATACTCTGCCAGAGGCAAGAGTTCTGCCCAGTCATCCTGTTGATATGAACAATAACTCCGCAAGTAATGTTCCAGGGTCTGATTAACTCTTTCTGTCTGGCCGTCCGTTTGGGGGTGGAAAGATGTGGACATCTTCAGCTTCACATTGAGGAGACTCATGAGAGATTGCCAAAAGTGAGAGATGAACCTGCTATCTCTGTCTGAGACTATGTCATCAGGTAACCCATGGAGTCTCCAAACTTCCTTCAAGAACAACTTAGCCAAATCTTCCGTTTTATTGAGGGTAGGAAGAGGGATGTAGTGTGCCATCTTCGAAAAGCGGTCCACTATTACCCAGATCTTTGTAAACCCACTAGATTCCGGTAATCCCACAATGAAGTCCATAGAGATGGAAGTCCATGGCCGATAGGGTATCTCCAACGGTTGGAGCATACCAAACTTCTTATGTCTTGAGGTCTTATTCCTCTGGCAGCTGTCACAGCTCCGGACATATTCCTCAACATCCTTATCCATGTTGGGCCAAAAGAAGTTGTTTTTCACCCGCTCTAGTGTCTTAAATTGGCCAAAATGACCAGCCACCTTAGAGTCATGGGTATCGGACAGTATTTCCATCTGAAGCTTCTTGTCTTTGGGTATATACCATCTATTTTTGTAGAAGATGAGACCGTTCTTGACCGACAAGTTCTGGTCCAAATTTGGTTTCCTTTCAACCAGAGAGCGGTGCAATTCCTGCCAGAAACTATCCTCTTTAGCAGCCGTGTATAGGCGCTCTAAGAATGTATTCTGCAATTGATTCACCCTGACAGCCGCTAGCTTTGCAGGATCCAAAACCAATTAACCTGGCCTAAAAAAGATCTGTGGCTCCGGCTGCAGAGTTTCACCTCCCTCTCCAAGGCGGTGATCCCAGCGCCTAGATAGCACATCAGTCTTGCCATTCTTTTCTCCCGGTCTGTAGACAACTTTAAAATTGTAGCCTCCGAGGTCCTCAGACCATCTAGTTTGCCGCCTAGTGAGAACCTTGGTAGAATTAAAATACTCCAAGTTCTTGTGGTCTGTAAAAACCGTGATTTCCTGCTCACAGGATTTGAGCATGTGTTCCCATTCCCGGAAAGAGGCTACAATAGCTCCCATTTCCTTATCATGAATGTCATAGTTGATCTCAGCAGGGGAGAACTTCTTAGAGTAGAATGCCACCGGATGTAGCTTCCCATCATCCCCATACTGAGAGAGCACCGCTCCCTTGGCAAAATCACTGGCATCTGTCTCGACCACCGTTCTCCTACTAGGGTCAAAATGAAGGAGGATTGGAGCGCTTGTGAACATCCTCTTGAGTTCTTCAAAGGCCTGCTCATGTGCTGCCGTCCAATACCATTTCTTGTCCTTTTGCAGGAGGTCAGTTAATGGTTTGCAAACTTTACTGAAGCCTTCAATGAAGCGGCGATAGAAGTTTGCAAATCCGAGGAATGCCTGTACTGCCTTAATATTTTCCGGGACCGGCCATTCCTTAACTGCCTCCACCTTGTCTTCTGACATAGATACTCCTTCTTCCGAGATGTGATAGCCTAGGTATTCTACCTCTCGGACATGGAAGGATGTCTTACTGATCGAGGCACAGAGCTTAGCTTCCCTAAGCTTCTGTAGTACCTTCTTGACCAATAGCTCATGCTCTTTCTCAGTCCCTGAATAGATGAGGATGTCATCAATATAGACAACCACTCTGTTACGGGCATGCTAAGTATTTATGGAGTGAGAGAAAGGCTAGTAGATACCCCTATACCCTTTAATACTAAAGGCAACACCACTATCAACTCCGGTTCGCACCTACGAGGTACGGTGCGATCAATATGCGACTAAATGCGGAGTTGCGGTTTTCCTAGTTAAAAAACACGTTTTCGACCCCAATAATAACCCCCGGAGCGTCAAACCGCCGGAGGGGAGTGTTTTGGTACCGGTGGATATATGAGGGACAGCTGGAATCAATCGGATCGAAGATCGGACCGCTCGGAGCGAATCGGCGCAAGCTGCCAGCCGACCGAGCACCTATCGGCGGTACCTGTGGGCATGAGAGGACTCTGCTATGTGGGAAAGCGATGTGGGAAGAGGCCTGAGTAGGTAGCCTTGCCGTCCGAGACCTCCGAATAGCCGACGCTGACGATTATCCACCAGACGGCCGATGGAGAAGAAATATCGACAGGGAAACGTGCATTAGAGTGGATAAATAGGTTGAGGGGTTTCAGCGGCTTTAGGAGTTTGGGTTACGGACTTAGGAGTTAAATGTTCTTGGTTGTTTTTCAGGGTCTCGGGCGTGCCCCGAGTGTATTTGGTATTATTAGTAGACTGGGTCCTCGAGACATAAGCGAGGGATATAAATACTGTGTCATTCACTGACTAGCCAAACCATCATCGGCGAAATCAGAGTCTTAACAATATAAATCGTTGATACGCGAGTTACAGCTTTACTTGACTATATTTTCTGAAATACTTTACTCTATCGTGACTTCGAACTCTACCTGAACTATTACGTCGAAGACGGTCGGACATCACACGCTAACTCTAGTGAATCTTTGTTGATAACGTAGCTCGCGGGGCCCGTATCGGATCAAGGAGAATCATACTCGACGTTGACTGAAGAGACCTTGGAGACTTCTACCTTTGTAGCTGTTAGCCGAACTCTGAGCTCTGCGTAGTGTACTCTTGTGGTCTGGTACGCATCCCTCACACACTCCTTCATCCAGTAGTTCCTTTAGCACATCATTGATCATTGCCTGGAAAGCGGAGGGAGCATTGCATAGACCAAATGGCATCACATTGTACTGATACAGTCCATAGCAGGTTCTGAAAGCGGTTTTCTACTCATCACCTTCTGCTATCCTGATCAAATTGAAGCCGTTCTTCAGGTCTATCTTTGTGAAGATCTTGGCCTTGAACAACCTGTCTCTGAGCTCACTCATGATAGGCAGCGGGTACTTGTCCTTGACAGTGACCTTGTTCAATCCTCTGTAGTCCACACAAATCCGCAATGTCCCATCCTTCTTAGGAATGAACAGTATGGGCGCCGCAGCAGGGCTGTTACTTCTAGAGATCTTTCCTGAAGACAATTCTTTGTCCAGGTACTCTCGGAGGGCCTTCAACTCTGGAGCGGAACATGGGTACAGCGGGCCAAATGGGGGAGCGGTGCAAGGCAAGAGTTTGATCTTCAAATCATTATGGGAATGCGGCGGCATTTCCTCAATCTTCTCTTGACTGAACACATCAGCCCATTCCCGGTAAAGGTGGTGTATCTTCTCAGCGATATCACCTCCGTCCTCATCATGCCATACTGAATCAACCAATTGGTAGACTGTCTCTTCCTCTTCCAACATCTGGTATGGAGAGATCAGTTCAATCTTGGTGGCCGCTGGGAGACAATTCTGCTTGCAGTAGTCACTCCTCCAGCTCATGGTGTTGAGTTCCCAGTTGATGTCCGGGTTATGCTTCCTAGCCCAACTAATTGGCAGGTAGCCGGTCATTCCTTCTTCCAAAGTAGCCACCTCCCATCGGAGTGTCTCCTTATGATCTCCCATAGTCATGCGGACCGGATGAGTATAATACTCACCTCCTCCCATCATGACATCTCCTTGAGCATCAAGCATTGTCAGAGGTTGATCCCGCCGCACTAAGGGAATTCCATGCTTCCTGACAAAACTCTGGTTGAGGATTGCTCCTGTACAACCCGTGTCAAACAGGAAAGACCCTTGGGCACCTTCATCCTTTCCTTTGACTGTCCATGACAGTCCTGCCTTTAGTATAGGTCTTTTTCCATGTACTGGTAAGGAGGGAAGCCTCTGTTCCAACCTTCTTTGCTTAACAGCGGATTCTGGACTCGTTTCTCTTTGTCTTTTTAACATAGCTAAATAGCTTCGGGCACTACTAAGATCAAAGATCCTTTGGTTCTATTCCCAAGCGATAATATAGCAGGTATGATGTGTGGTAATTTTGGTAGCGGTTTGGAAGTGTCTTGATAGCAAATGTAACTTTGGTAGAGCACTGACAGACCAGCTGTTTCGGGGCTTAAACCCATCCTCAGAGTGCTTGGAGCAATCAAATAGGCAGAAACACAATCATAATTTATTCAAAAGAAACATAGAAACCAAAACCCCATATAAAAGAAAACTAGTAAACATAGACTCAGACAGACACTTTCTACCAGATGATTTCATTGTCCGAGTCTTGCTCAGGCTGAAAAACAAAATCTTCTGTAACCTCCGGGAGTACAACAAGTGGATCCTCTGCTACTACAGCAGCCACTTTAGCCTTCTTCTGAGAGCTGGACTTGCCATTCCCTCTTTTCCGCTTTTGTACTCTCACTGCTGCCACTCGGACAACAGTAGGTTCCTTTGACCAACAATCGGTCCATTTGTGTCTGGACTTGCCGCACTATTGCACAAGTCAGTCTATGCACTCTACCAAGAGGGAGTACCGAAAGGTCATACCTTCAAGCATACTTCTGCTTTCCTTCTTTCTTCTAGAATATCCCCCGGGATACCCTTCAGTTCCACCGCTTTGTCTTTTGGTCCAGGAGTCTTCTGAGTTCCGGAAGAGCTTGCAGCTTCTCTTTTCCTCTTAGGCTGCTGGTCCTTCTGAGCAGGAGGATCTTTCTTGGTCCGAGGGGGCGCTTTCTCAGCTGCCATCCCTTGGTACCTCTCATGGGTGTGCCCTAGCTCTCTTAGGGCAGCTATCCGCTCCATCAAGGACTTTGGCTTGGGATTGAAGAGAGCCCAACTCATGCCTAGGTCCGCAAGGAGGGAATTATTGATCTTATCATCCACCAACTGTCCCTCATAGCCAGTCTTCCACATCAGCTGAATAATAGTATTCAGGAAGAGATCAATTCCTCCTCGGGCTGTGTGGGTAAGGGTATTCCATTGGGCTACAGCATCATCTCTAGAGATGGCTTCGCCGAAAGCTGCTCTGAAAGCATCCACAAAGGAATCCCAGCGCTTCCATCTCTGATCCAACTGCACCGGCATTCCAGCAAGACGGTTGGCTGAGGTTTGATCAATTGAGTTGTGGTATGCCTCATACCATCGGATCGCTGCCTCTCCTTCCATCAAGTTGCCTGCATATCGGATCTTAACCTCCTCAGAGGTAAATGACAGGCTCTCAATGGAGAACACATTCTCACATTGCCGGATGAAGGTCTCCACTTGCTCCGCCTTGCCTTGGAACTTAGAAGGTGGTGGTGCCTTTGGCTCTCGGGCCCTGGTAGAAGTAGAAGGGGGAGAGGCGGCCGGAAGTCGGTACTGCTGTGACATCATAGCAAACAAATCCTTTTGTTGCTTCTCCAACTTCTTCTTAAGATATCTCCGCCAGCCTCTTCTGTCACCACCTTCTGGTTCTGAGTCTGAACTGTCAGAACTGTCTGAGTCTCCAGGAGCGGGAGCGCGGGCCACTGGAGGTGGAGGATTCTGATTTCCACCGCTTCCACCCTGTACATTAGCTGGAGGGGGAGCGGTGGCCGCAGCAGGAGGGGCCACAGGTGCCACTGGTGCCGGATTGCTGGCCAATGGTGAGGTTGCTGCTGGTTGGGCGGCCCCAGACATGGTGAACCTTCCCGGGTTCCTGGCTAGCGGACTGGGAGGTCCTCGGCCTGCACCTGAGAAGAACTCTCCTTCATAGACAAAGGATCGGTCAGCTCCTCCAAGGAGTGGGTGTGATCCTCCGAAGTGGCTAGGTGGTAAGGGCGAAGCCCCCACCGCTGGCTGCACAATAGGGATGACTCTCCTAGTGGATCGGACCGGGAATGCTGCGAAGGGGCTGGCCTTCCGCTGCATTGTCCTGGTGGCTGCCCTAGAAGAGGACCTGGAGACGGGATTTGGTGCCGGAGTTGCTGGTCTACCCACCACCAGCCTTCCTTCATCAAGAGCTCTCTGTATCTCGGCAACAAAGTCTGGTGGAGTGGCCGGATTTGTCCACTCAATCTCCATGGCATCAACATCGGCATTCAGTTCATCTCTTTCTGCATACTTCCGGAGCTCTTCCTGAACAGAGTTGACTTCCGATCTCATGTACTCTAGAGCTTCTGCCATCAGAGCATTCTGTGCTGCCTGGCGCTCTTGTACAATGAGCAGTGCCTGACTGCCTCGATTCAACTGACTCTGCAGGCTGTGCTGGAGGTAGGTCTGAAGCTCTGTGAAGAACTGTTGTAAGGAAACCTCATCGGTATCCTGCCAGGCAGGCTCACAGCCGGGAATATAGGCCTGTAGAGCGGTCCTGGGTTTCTTAACAAGCTGTGTCTGCCCGGTGGCATCAAGCTAGAGGGGCACCGGCTGCCATTCGATCTGAAGGGGTGCATCTGGAGCCGAGAGGGCGGACATTTTTGTATAGAGGAAGAATAATCTGAAGGTGACTTGATGTAACGGAGCCATTTCAACTGTCTGGTGTATGAGTACACACAGGGCCCGATTACATGCTGAGAGTTATTGTTAGAAGCCAGTTGCGCGGTGATATGCAAGTACCGGCAGTGTGGTTAGCTACCAGCTGTTAGAGTAACTACATTCCGGGCGCTAGGAAGGGGATCTATTCATGGGAGCAATGACTGACGAGTCTATGCCTCGCCAGTGACTAGAAGACCGGCCAGAGTGAAGCTCTGATTGTCCGGTGATCCTCTATATCCTCTGAGCATTGTATGACCGCCAAAGAGGCAGGGACTATGCTAGGGAAGTCTACAATAAGCGAAAGCTCTACAGCAATGATTAAGCTTACACCTGAGCGGCAGCTCATTCATGCAGGCCCTCGGTTGTGTGGCAACCAAGGCTGCAGGTGTTACAAAGGCTTTGACTAAGGGTGGTTGCCTTGGGTATCGGAAACACCTGCTGACGCTTAGAGAAAAGCGGGGTAGCGGTGGTATTGTTTCCGGTACTGAGGGAAGGCCCACCGGAACTTAGTAAAGGAGTTAGGAGCAGAGAATAGAGGCCTTTGGAGTATAAGTACTCAGGTTCATTCTCGCCCTTCAGTCCTATTCTCCCCAGTCTTCATCAAAAAAAAAAACCAAGTTCTTATCGGTAGCAGAGCCCTTAAAGATTATTGAGTTCTAGCGATAGTATCTTTGAATAATCTGCAACCTGATTGTCTATCTTGCACGGCCGTCTCTATTCTATACATATCTATTTCTCTTAGAAAGGACCCCCGTTACAGATAATCTTTACGGCTCAAGTCACCTTCAGATTATTCTTCTTCTATACAAAAATGTCCGCCCTATCAGCTCCAGAAGTGCCTCTTCAGATTGAATGGCAGCCGGTGCCCCTCCAGCTTGATGCCAACGGGCAGACACAGCTTGTTAAGAAACCCAGGACCGCTCTACAGACCTATATCCCCGGTTGCGAGCCTGCCTGGCAGGATACCGACGAGGTTTCCATCCAACAGTTCTTCACAGAGCTTCAGACCTACCTTCAGCATAGCCTGCAGAATCAGTTGACCCGAGGCGGTCAGGCACTGCTCGTTGTGCAAGAGCGTCAGGCAGCACAGAATGCTCTGATGGCAGAAGCTCTTGAATATATGAGGCATGAAGTCAACTCTGTCCAGGAAGAACTCCGAAAGTACGCGGAAAGGGATGAATTGGCAGCCGATGCCATGGAGATTGAGTGGACAAACCCGGCAACTCCGCCAGATTTTGTTGCCGAGATACAGAAAGCCCTTGATGAAGGAAGGCTAGTGGTAGGGAGACCAGCAACTCCGGTACCAAATCCAGGCTCCAGGTCCTCGTCCAGGGCAGCCACCAGGACAATGCAGCGGAAAACCAGTCCCTTCTCAGCATTTCCGGTTAGATCCACTAGGAGAGTTGTTCCTATTGTCCAGCCAGCGGTGGGAGCATCTCCCTTACCTCCTAGTCGCTTTGTAGGAGTAAATCCATTTCTGGGATTAGCCGACCGATCCTTTGACTATGAGGGAGAACTCTACCCAGGTGCAGGCCGAGGACCTCCCAGCCCGCTAGCCAGGAATCCAGGAAGGTTCACCATGTCCGGGGCCGCTCAACCAGCAGCAACCTCACCACTGGCCAGCAATGTGGCACCGGTAGCACCTGTGGCCCCTCCTGCTGTGGCCGCCGCTGCCCCTCCAGCTCAGGCACAGGATGGAAGTGGTGGGAACCAGAACCCTCCGGCCCAAGCACAGGGTGGAAGTGGTGGAAACCAGAACCCTCCACCTCCTGTGGCCCGTGCTCCTGCTCCTGGAGACTCAGACAGTTCTGACAGCTCCGATTCGGAACCAGAAGGTGGTGATAGAAGAGGCTGGCGGAGATATATCAAGAAGAAGTTGGAGAAGCAGCAGAAGAATCTGTTGGCTATGATGTCCCAGCAGTTCCGACCTCCGACCGCCTCTCCCTCTTCCTCAACAACCAGGGCCCGAGAACCAAAGGCACCACAACCCTCCAAGTTCCAGGGCAAAGCGGAGCAAGTGGAGACCTTTATCCGGCAATGTGAGAATGTGTTCTCCATTGAGAGTCTGTCCTTTACCTCTGAGGAGGTTAAGATTCGATATGCAGGCAACTTGATGGAAGGAGAGGCAGCGATCCGATGGTATGAGGCATACCATAATTCGATTGATCAAGCCTCCGCCAACCGCCTTGCTGGAATGCCGGTGTCCTTGGATCTGAGATGGAAGCGTTGGGATTCCTTTGTGGATGCTTTTAGAGCTGCCTTCGGTGAAGCCATCTCCCGAGATGATGCTGTAGCCCAATGGAATGCCCTAACCCACACGGCTCGAGGAGGAATAGATCTCTTCCTGAATACTATTATTCAGCTGATGTGGAAGACTGGCTATGAGGGTCAGTTGGTGGATGATAAGATTCACAATTCCCTCCTCCCGGACCTAGGCATGAGTTGGGCTCTTTTTAATCCCAAGCCAAAGT